TTCTGCTGATGCAACTTGAAGCCACCCCACTCTGCTCAGCAGGCACCTGTGGGGCAGCAAAGTCTAATATAAACTCAGCAGCCCTGTGCTGCTGCAGTGCAATCCACCAGCTGCCCCTGCCTGACAAGGCTGGGAATGAATAGCAGTGCTGCTTAAGACTCTTTATTTAAGTATAAGCACTTCTGGTGGCATTCATCCTGCAGTGGAGGAGCTGGGCCCTTTTCTGGGTCCTCTCTATTGGGAAGACCAGCTGTAGATGGGAGAAAACAGTAAGCCTTCTCCAGGCCCGGGGCAGCAGCAGGCTCCTGGCCTACAAGGTGCTTGCTGAGAACAAACTGAAGGAAGCTGTCTGCTGCAAACACTGAGATTGTTGGACTGAATGGAGCAACACACCTGGCTCTGACTGGGCACTGTCAAGTTAATTCAGGAGCTGGCTCATCCAGCACTAAGATCTGGCACTAAGATGAGGAAAGTGCAGTCATGTTTAAACAGAGGGTTATAGAGTAGATGAATGAATACAGAAAAGTGACGTAGGCAGAAATCAGTGCAAATTTCTACCCTAAATCAATATTCTCTTATGTTCTCAAGCAGCAGCTCTCACCTACAAACAGGCTCAGAAGTTACTTGCACATACAGTTCAGATCTTTAGTTGGCACAGGACATGACAGTCAACATGAAATTATCAGTTGTCAAAAAAAAGAGGGAAAAAAATGAAAAACATTCAGGAAGGCTGAATCTCTTTGTGAGGCATCAGAAACAATAACAATACATATCTCTAGCAAATTTTCATCACAGATGCAGGAGAAAAAAACAACTACATTTTCTTACAACAGACAAGTTATCAGCTCAGGGAGGTAAAAAAAAAAAGAAAAGTGTAAAGGTGCACATAAAAGATTTAGCACTTTCTTCTGTTTCTTATCTCATGAGTGGCTTGATGTTAACAGGCTGTTCCTCTCAGGTTAAGTCTCTATCTGAAATTCTACCACAAAAGCACCATTTCTTAGGTTTTGTTCTAAGTTGCCATGGAAGCAACAAAAAACTGTCATGAAGAACAGAGTTTTGAGCAGAGTTTTCATCGGTGCTGACAGCCAACTTTCTGGAAAAGCCAACTACTGCATAGCTGTTCTTCCGTATCTGCTGCTGCTCTCCTCTTCAGAAACACCTGTAAGTACACCAGCTACGGCCCGTGCAAACACTACATATACAAAAGTGGTATTTATTGGAAACCATATGCAGCGTATACTGTTGCTTAAGACACTTTTGGTAGGTTCCTTTGTTCAGTTTCCTCTCTGCAGACCTGTGTTAATTTTAATTTCAAAGCTCCTCTGTGGTGAAGATTTATTTGTGTTTACTGGTTCTCCAGGTGTGCACAGACAGGAAGATGGGGAGCAGCATGGTCCAGAACAGGAAGAGAGGGTGCTTCAAGCATAGGAGACCATACACCGTGACATCCCAATCTGCTGGGCAACATGGAAGTCACAGCTCTTGATATACTCCTTCAGCTGGGCAGACTGAATTACAGTGGAAGATTTGCTATAGTGAGTACGGTTCACATTAAACAACCGTGTGTTAATAAAGGTTGTGCAGCTCTGAAAGTGTCCTGGATTTTTGTTCTGTAACATCAAACATGGCCAGCAGTGTTACAGCAAAAAAAAACAAGGTGTGAACCAGTCAGACATCAGCTACATGCTCTTTCTCAGTGTCTAATAGGAATGGAGGAAATATTGAGAAGCATTCAAGCAGTGGTGAGCAGACACAAAGGGTTGGCTGAACAATGGAAGTTACAGACAGAACCCAAAACCAGTTTGCTGTTACCTGTGATACAAAAGGGAAAAACAATGCAGAGAACAACCAGTGACAGTAACATGAGATGTGGAACACAAACAAGTGTTGGGTAACTCAGAGCAGCCATCTGTAGAAGAGGATTTGTCCTATCTGTCCAGCACCAAGTGAATACTAAGTTGTGATTTCTTCTCATTTCAGCATTATTATTATTATTTTAGTGAGTACACATTTCCTGCAAATAACAGGACTAATTAACAGGTGTACCAAGACATAGAAGGAGTTGCTGACATTTGTTGTCTTCTTCAATCTCCTATCAACCTAAGAGCAAAGTTTTGCACAGCTATGCCGAAGTAATGACACAAGCCCCTGCTTGATACAAAGGAAGCAAAAGGCCTCACAGTGCTGCTGCAGTGAGAATTAACACTTCAAGAACTAGGAGGAAAACACCACCATTTTAAAAACTTCAAGTAAAGACAGAAAGCTTTCTTTAGGTTTGCAGGAATTCAGCTCTACTTACTGCCCATGGGCCCATGTTTTTTCTCCATCTTCACAGTGACCTCAGCCTCCTGCACTCATAATCAGTGCTAAGCCAAACATCCACCACTGCATGTCCAAGAACACCACTTCCAGACCGTTTAGTTTTCTCGACTGTGAAGTTGGCTTATACCGAGGGTGGGGGAATAATATAAAACTTAAACTACTGCAGCTGAAATACATGGTAAATAAATGAATGTACTGCTTCAGTTTGTTACTATCACAGTACACAGTGCGAACTGCAGAGCCCATGAAATCATAGAATCATAGAGTCATCAAGGTTGGAAAAGACCACTAAGGTCATCCAGTCCAACAACAAACCCATCCCCACCAGACCCACTAGCCACATCCCCCAGTGCCAAATCTACACCTTTCTTGAACACCTTCAGGGACGGTGACTCCACCACCTCCCTGGGCAGCCTGTTGCAGTGCCATACCGCTCCTGAGAAAAAATAGTTTCTGATACGCAGCTGCACCTTCCCAGCAGCAACTGAGGCAGCAGCAAAATCATGCAGTGTGTGAACTGTGTAACAGAGGTTATCTTTTGTTCAACACTCTGTTAGCGTGAATGTAGCTTGTTTTTGTAGCAGGCAATGCTAACCTGAATTTTCTTATGTCAGAAGCAGAGTGATGGAATGCCTCTGTTGTTTTAAATGTGCACTTGATAAGGTTTGCTTATCTGCCTCACAGAAAACAGCCTATCAGGAATGCAGAAATCCAGGTTTTACCTTTTTCAATCATGGTGCTCAGTTTTATACTGATGATTTTTGATTCTCATTCTGCTTCTTCACTAAAACATCATTAACTCTTTACAAATACATGGTTCCTCATTCCTGAGCATCATATTTCTTGTCCATCTAACTCAGTTGGTGTATTTATCACCCTTTCTGACCATTACTAGCACACAGGTTGAAATGTGATGATCCTGAGCATTTTCACTGCCAGGTGAGAACTCCCAGCAGAGAGGAGATAACCACCAATTGTACTCCATCACCCGACACAGTAACTGCAATTCTGACATCATTTTGAAAAAGTTGAGATGTTTTTTGCCTTCTTTTGCTGTTTTTTATTCTCTGCATTCTCTTCCATGAAGTCTGCCTTGCACGTAGCCTGTACAAAGTCATCTACCTTGCCCAAGTGCTTCACAGCAGAAAGCACACGCACATCCCCATCTTTAATTCTGCACCAGCATTCTGTGCTGACACACGGGCATCACGTGGACAGGAGAACACTGGGGAAGGAGGTAATTTTGAAGGTCAGGCTGCCACTGATGATGTCAGTTTTTCACTGCCTGATGGGAAAGCAGAGCGCAGGCACAAGAGTTCTCCCAGCTCTGGGGAACATCACCTATTCAGCACTGACACGCTGAGCTCCTTCTAACTTTGCCATCAACCTGCGTCTGTCACTGTGGTGTTTAAGGAAGGGAGAACCATGCCAGTGAGTGTTACACCATCTCATGCAGAATGCCATGGACACTTCATTTGCAGCCCCAAATCTCATTCTCAGTCGGATTCCCAGATATTCCTGTTTTTGCTTGTATCCTTTATAAAACACTTTATGTTTGGCAGAGATTGGCCATGGGCAGTCCTGCCAAGTCCCCAGAAGCTTATCTCCTACATCTGGTTACAGTTCAAAGATGACGTTTATTTTCCTCTGAAGTGCTTCGCTAAATCAACTAACTACTTAATACTTCATGTCTGGTCTCTGTGTCATCTGTGCTAGTAAGTAAGAGCTCTTTGGACATCTCTCAGGATGCTTAAAGAGCATTGCAGGATAGGTTAAAAAGACCATAAACAATTAGCTAGCTCTGTTATTTAAAATAAAAGCATTTGATTATTAAATCTGCTTTTGCAGAAGATTTTCTAACATTCTGGAAATTCTTTTTGATGCTGGGGAGCTTCCAATTCCACTATGTTTGCATGTATTTTCCATTCTAGCATTAGGTATTCTCCATTTAGGTAAAATATTGGAAAACTAAAGAGATGTGATAGAGAAGAATCAATATCTAGAATTATAGGGCATAATGCTCATAATCCTTCTTTTGGCATAAAGTTGAGCTGGGAAGTTAAGGATAAGCCTTTGACCAGATGACTGCTCCTCTCCCAGCAGATCTTTATGGTAAGCCTCCAGCTTATAGAAAAGTATCAAGATACTGTTTCATCAGTGTAGTGTGTAATGCATAGCTTAAGTGACTCTGAAGGAGTACATGCAGACAAAGAGGAAGGGTGTGTCATGGTTTTATGATTTTTGGTCATCAGTATTCCACACCATAACA